ACAACTACTGATGCAACAACAACTTTGGATTCCACAACCACCCCTCTAATGTCAACCACTGATGCATCAACCACAACTCTGTCTGACAACACAACACCTATTGATGCAACATCAACTTTGGATTCCTCAACATCCCCTCTAATGTCAACCACTGATGCATCAACCACAACTCTGTCTGACATCAAAACAACTACTGATGCAACAACATCTTTGGCTACCACACCCACCTTTCCAACGCCCTCTACTGTGGCACTAGCCGCAACAATATCTGATGCAGCAACCACACCTCTGCCTGACACCACAACTACTACTGATGCAACAACATCTTTGGCTACCACACCCACCTTTCCAACGCCCTCTACTGTGGCACTAGCCGCAACAATATCTGATGCAGCAACCACACCTCTGCCTGACACCACAACTACTACTGATGCAACAACATCTTTGGCTACCACACCCACCTTTCCAACGCCCTCTACTGTGGCACTAGCCGCAACAATATCTGATGCAGCAACCACACCTCTGCCTGACACCACAACTACTACTGATGCAACAACATCTTTGGCTACCACACCCACCTTTCCAACGCCCTCTACTGTGGCACTAGCCGCAACAATATCTGATGCAGCAACCACACCTCTGCCTGACACCACAACTACTACTGATGCAACAACATCTTTGGCTACCACACCCACCTTTCCAACGCCCTCTACTGTGGCACTAGCCGCAACAATATCTGATGCAGCAACCACAACTATACCTGACACCACAACAACTACTGAGGCAACAACAACTTTGGATTCTACAACCACCCCTCTAATGTCAACCACTGATGCATCAACCACAACTCTGTCTGACACCACAACAACTACTGATGCAACAATTTTGGCTTCCACAACCACCCCTCCAAAATCCTCAACTATAGCACCAATGTCAACAACTGATGCAGCAACCACAACTATACCTGGCAGCACAACAACTACTGATGCAACAACAACTTTGGATTCCACACTGTCTGATGCCAAAACAACTACTGATGCAACAACTTTGGCTTTCTCAACCATCCCTCCAACATCCTCAGCTACAGTATCAATATTGACAAATGATGGAATTACATCAACTATGCCTGACTTTTCAACAACTATTGATTCAACATCAACTTTAGCTACTGCAACCACACTTTCAACAGCTTCAACTGTGGCACAAATGTCAACAACAACTAATGCAAGAACAAAAACTCTGTCTGACACCACAAAAAACACTGATGCAACAATTTTGACTTCCTCAACCACCCCTCCAAAATCCTTAATTATAGCACCAATGTCAACAACTGATTCAGCAACCACAACTTTGCCTGATACCACAACAACTACATATGCAACAACATCTTTGGCTACCTCAACCACCTTTCCAACACCCTCAACTGTGGCACCAGCGGCAACAATAACTGATGCAGCGACTACAACTCTGTCTGACACAACAACAACTACTGAGGCAACATTTTTTGCTTCCACAACCACCCCTCTAATGTCAATCACTGAGGCATCAAGCACAACTCTGTCTGATGCCAAAACAACTACTGATGCAACAACTTTGGCTTTCTCAACCATCCCTCCAACATCCTCAGCTACAGTATCAATATTGACAAATGATGGAATTACATCAACTATGCCTGACTTTTCAACAACTATTGATGCAACATCAACTTTAGCTACTGCAACCACACTTTCAACAGCTTCAACTGTGGCACAAATGTCAACAACAACTAATGCAAGAACAAAAACTCTGTCTGACACCACAAAAACCACTGATGCAACAATTTTGACTTCCTCAACCACCCCTCCAAAATCCTCAACTATAGCACCAACGTCAACAACTGATTCAGCAACCACAACTCTGCCTGACACCACAACAACTACTGATGCAACAACATCTCTGGCTACCTCAACCACCTTTCCAACACCCTCAACTGTGGCACCACTGGCAACAATATCTGATGCAGCAACTACAACTCTGTCTGACATCACAACAACTACTGAAGCAACTACAACTCTGTCTGACATCACAACAACTACTGAAGCAACTACAACTCTGGATTCCACAACCACCCCTCTAATGTCAAACACTGAGGCATCAACCACAACTCTGTCTGACACCAAAACAACTACTGATGCAACACTTTTTTTTTCCACAACCACCCCTCCAAAATCCTCAAGTTTTGCACCAATTTCAACAACTGATGCAGGAACCACAACTCTGTCTGACACCACAAAAACCCCTGATGCAACAATTTTGACTTCCTCAACCACCCCTCCAAAATCCTCAACTATAGCACCAACGTCAACAACTGATTCAGCAACCACAACTCTGCCTGACACCACAACAACTACTGATGCAACAACATTTTTGGCTACCACAACCACTTTTCCAACACCCTCAACTGTGGCACCAGTGGCAACAATATCTGATGCACCAACTACAGCTCTGTTTGACACCAAATCAACTACTGATGCAACAATTTTTGCTTCCACAACCAGCCCTCCAAAATCCTCAACTATAGCACCAATATCAACAACAGATGCAGCAACCACAACTATACCTGACACCACAACAACTATTGATACAACTACAGCTTTGGCTTTGACAAGCACTGTTTTAATATCCTCAAGTATTGCACCAATTTCAACAAATGATGCAGCAACCACAACTCTGTCTGACACCACAAAATCTACTGATGCTACAATTTTGACTTCCACAACCACCACTCCCACATCTTCGGCTTTAGCACCAACGTTAACAACAGCCGATGAATCAACCGCAACTCTGTCTGACATCACAAAAACTACTGATGCTACAATTTTGACTTCCCAACAACTATTGATACAACTACAGCTTTGGCTTTGACAAGCACTGTTTTAATATCCTCAAGTATTGCACCAATTTCAACAAATGATGCAGCAACCACAACTCTGTCTGACACCAAAACAACTACTGATGCTACAATTTTGACTTCCACAACCACCCCTCCCACATCTTTGACTGTAGCACCAACGTTAACAACAGCCGATGAATCAACCACAACTCTGCCTGACACCACAACTACTACTGATGCAACAGCAACTTTGGATTCCACAACCACCCCTCTAATTTCAACCACTGATGCATCAACCACAACTCTGTCTGACACCAAAACAACTACTGATGCAGCAACTTTGGCTTCCACAAACATCACTCCAACATCATCAGCTACAGTACCAATGTTGGCAAATGATGGAATTACATCAACTATGCCTGACTTTTCAACAACTATTGATGCAACAGCATCTTTACCTACCATGACCACACTTTCAACAGCTTCAACTGTGGCACAAATGTCAACAACAACTGATGTATTAACCACAACTCTGTCTGACACCCCCAGAACTACTGATGCAACAACAACTTTGGATTCAACAACCACCCCTCTAATGTCAACCACTGTTGCATCAACCACAACTCTGTCTGACACCACAGCAAATATTGATGCAACAACAACAAACTTGACTTCTACAACCACCCCTCCAGTGTCAACATCTGATGGAGCAACCGCAATTATGCCCAGCTACCACAACAACTATTGATGCAACCACAACTTTAGCTTTCACTAAAACTGTTTCAATATCCTCAAGTGTTACACCAATTTTAACAACCGATGCAGCAACTAAAACTCTGTCTGACACCACAAAAACTACTGATGCTAAAATTTTGACTTCCACAAACACCCCTCCAACATCTTCGAATGTTGCACCAACGTCAACAATAGTTGGTGAATCAACCACAACTCTGCATGACACCACAACAACTACTGATGCAACAATCTCTGTCTGACACCAAAACAACTACTGATGCAGCAACTTTGGCTTCCACAAACATCACTCCAACATCATCAGCTACAGTACCAATGTTGGCAAATAATGGAATTACATCAACTATGCCTGACTTTTCAACAACTATTGACGCAACAGCATCTTTACCTACCATGACCACACTTTCAACAGCTTCAACTGCGGCACAAATGTCAACAACAACTGATGTATTAACCACAACTCTGTCTGACACCCCCAGAACTACTGATGCAACAACAACTTTGGATTCAACAACCACCCCTCTAATGTCAACCACTGTTGCATCAATGCAGCAACCACAACTCTGTCTGACACCACAACAACTACTGATGCAACTACAACTTTGGCTTTGACAAACACTGTTTCAATATTCTCAAGTATTACACCAATTTTAACAATTGATAAAGCAACTACAACTCTGTCGGACACCACAACTACTGATGCAACAACAACTTTGGATTCCACAACCACCTTTCCAACATCCACAAATGTGGCACCAACTGCAACAATATCTGATGCAGCAACAACAACTCTGTCTGACACCACAACAACTACTGATGCAACAACATCTTTGGCTACCACAACCACCTTTCCAACATCCACAAATGTGGCACCAATGGCAACAATATCTGATGAAGCAACTACAGCTATGACAGGCACCAGAACAACCATTGATGCAACAACAACTTTGGCTTCCACAACCATCCCTCCAACATTCTCAGCTACAGTACTAACATTGACAAATGATGGAATTACATCAACTATGCCTGTCATTTCAACAACTATTGATGCAACAACAACTTTAGCTACCACAACCACACTTTCAACATCTTCAACTGTGGCAAAAATGTCAACAACAACAACTGATGCAGAAACAACAACTCTGTCTGACGCCACAAAAACGTCTGATGTAACAACAACTTTGGCTTTTACAACCACATCTCCAATGTCAACAACTGTTGCAGCAACCACAACAATGCCTATCACCACAACAATTATAGAAGCAACAACAACTTTGACTTCCACAACCACCCCTCCAGCGTCAACATCTGATGGAGGAAGCACAACTCTGTCTGACACCACAACAATTACTGATGCAACTACAACTTTGGATTCCACAACCAGCACCCCAACATCCTCAACTATAGCACCAGCGTCAACAACAACTGATGCATCAACCACAACTCTGTCTGACACCACAACAACTACTGATGGAACTACAACTTTGGATTCCACAACCACCCCTCTAATGTCAACCACAACTCTGCCTGACACCACAACAACAACTACTGATGCAACAACATCTTTGGCTACCACATCCACCTTTCCAACACCCTCAACTGTGGCACCAACTGCAACAATATCAGATTCAGCAACCACAACTCTGACTGAGAACACAAAAGCTACTAATGCTACAATTTTGACTTCCACAAGCACCCCTCCAACATCTTCGACTGTAGCACCAACGTCAACAACAACTGATGAATCAACCACAGCTCTGCCTGACACCACAACAACTACTGATGCAACAACATCTTTGGCTACCACAACCACCCCTCCAAAATCCTCAACTATAGCACCAACGTCAACAACTGATGCAGCTACCACAACAACTATTGATGCAACTACAACTTTAGCTTTCACTAAAACTGTTTCAATATCCTCAAGTATTACACCAATTTTAACAACCGATGCAGCAACTAAAACTCTGTCTGACACCACAAAAACTACTGATGCTAAAATTTTGACTTCCACAAACACCCCTCCAACATCTTCGAATGTTGCACCAACGTCAACAATAGCTGATGAATCAACCACAACTCTGCATGACACCACAACAACTACTGATGCAACAACATCTTTGGCTACCACAACCAGCTTTCCAACACCCTCAACTGTGGTACCAACGGCAACAATATCTGATGCAGCAACTACAACTCTGTCTGACACCACAACAACTATTGATGCAACTACAACTTTGTCTTTGACAAACACTGTTTCAATATTCTCAAGTATTACACCAATTTTAACAACTGATAAAGCAACTACAACTCTGTCTGACACCACAACTACTGATGCAACAACAACTTTGGATTCCACAACCACCCCTCTAATGTCAACCACTGATTCATCAACCACAACTCTGCCTGACACCACAACAACTACTGATGCAACAACATCTTTGGCTACCACAACCACCTTTCCAACACCCTCAACTGCGGCACCAACGGCAACAATATCTGATTCAGCAACCCCAACTCTGACTGAGAACACAAAAACTACTGATACTACATTTTTGACTTCCACAAGCACCCCTCCAACATCTTCGACTGTAGCACCAACGTCAACAACAACTGATGAATCAAGCACAGCTATGCCTGTCACCACAACTACTACTGATGCAACAACATCTTTGGCTACCACAACCACCCCTCCAAAATCCTCAACTATAGCACCAACGTCAACAACAACTGATGCAGCAACCACAACTATACCTGACACCACAACAACTATTGATGCAACTACAACTTTAGCTTTGACAAACACTGTTTCAATATCCTCAAGTGTTGCACCAATTTCAACAACTGATTCAGCAACCACAACTCTGTCTGACACCACAAAAACTACTGATGCAACGATTTTGACTTCTACAACCACCCTTCCAACATCTTCGACTGTAGCAACAACGTCAAAAACATCTGATGAATCAACCACAACTCTGCCTGACACCACAAAAAGTACTGATGCAACAACATCTTTGGCTACCACAACCACCTTTCCAACAGCCTCAACTGTGGCACCAATGGCAGCAATATCTGATGCAGCAACTACAACTCTGTCTGACACCAGAACAACTACTGATGCAACAGCAACTTTGGATTCCACAACCACACCTCCAACATCCTCAGCTACAGTACTAACATTGACAAATGACGGAATTACATCAACTATGCCTGTCATTTCAACAACTATTGATGCAACAACAACTTTAGCTACCACAACCACACTTTCAACATCTTCAACTGTGGCAAAAATGTCAACAACAACAACTGATGCAGAAACAACAACTCTGTCTGACACCACAAAAAATTCGGATGTAACAACAACTTTGGCTTTCACAACCACATCTCCAATTTCAACAACTGATGCAGCAACCACAACTATGCCTGACACCACAACAAAGATTGATGCAACAACAACTTTGACTTCCACAACCACCCCTCCAGCATCAACATCTGATGCAGCAACCACAACTATGCCTGACACCACAACAACTATTGATGCAACAATTTTGGCTTCTACAATCACCCCTCCAAAATCCTCAATTATAGCACCAACGTCAACAACTGATGCAGCAACCACAACTATACCTGACACCACAACAACTATTGATGCAACAATTTTGGCTTCTACAATCACCCCTCCAAAATCCTCAATTATAGCACCAACGTCAACAACTGATGCAGCAACCACAACTATACCTGACACCATAACAACTATTGATGCAACTACAACTTTGGCTTTCACAAATACTGTTTCAACATCCTCAAGTATTGCACCAGTTTCAACAACTGATTCAGCAATCACAACTATGCATGCCACCACAAAAGCTATTTACGCAACAGCAACTTTGGCTTCCATAGCCAGCCCCCCAACATCCTCAATTATATCATCAGAGTTAGCAACAACTGATGCATCAACCACGACTCTGTCTGACACCACAACGACAACCGTTGGAACCCCAACTGTGCCTTACACCAAAATAACTATTGATGCAACAACATCTTTGGCTTTCACAACCACTCCTTCAACATCCTCAACTGTAGCACAAGCATCAACAACTGATGCGGCAACCACATCTATACCAGAGACCTCAACAACTATCGATGCAACAACTACTTTGGCTTCCGCAACCACAACTCCAACATCTTCAACTCTGCCACCAATGTTAACAACAACTGATGCAGCAAAGGCAACTCTATCTGATACCAAAACACCTATAGATGCAACAACAACTTTGGCTTCCACAATCACTCCTATAACATCCTCAACTGTAGCGCCAGTATCAGCAACTGATGCAGCAACCACAACTATGCCTGACACCACAACAACTATTGATGCAACAACAACCTTATCTGCCAGAACCACCCCTCCAACATCCTCAAATATAGGACCAACGTCAACAACTGATGCTGCAACCAAAGCTATTCCTGACACCACAACAACTATGGATGCAACAACAGCTTTAGCTGCCACAACCACCCTCTCAAAATCTTTAATTGTGGCACCAATGTCAACAATAACTGATGCAGAAACGGCAACTCGATCTGATACCACAACAACTATAGATGCAACAACAACTTTGGCTTCCACAATCATTTTTAAAACATCCTCAACTGTAGTGCCAACAACAGCAAATGATGCATCAACCACAACTCTGCCTGACACCACAACAACTTCTGATGCAAAAATAACTTTGGCTTCCACAACCACCCCTCAATCATCAATAACTGATGCAGAAACCAAAGCTCTGACTGACACCACAACAACAATTTATGCAACTACAACAAATAATGGATCAACCACAACTATACCTGACACCGCAACAACTATTGATGCAACTACAACTTTGGCATTCACAAACACTGGTTTAACATCTTCAAGTATTGCACCAACATCAACAACTGATGCAGCAACCACAACCCTGTCTGACACCACAAAAACCTTTGAACCAACAACTTTGGCTTCCACAACCACCCCTCCAACATCCTCAACCTTAGCACCAGCGTCAGCAACTGATGCATCAACCACAACTCTGTCTGACAACACAAAAAGTATTAATGCAATAACAACTTTGGCTTCAACAACCATGCCTCCAAAATCAACAACTGAAGCAGCAACCATAAACATGCATTTCTCCACAAAAACTATTGATGCAACAACAACTTTGGCTTCCACAACCATGTCTTCAACATCCTCAACCGCAGCATCAACATTGACAACTGATTCAGCAACAACAACTTTGACTGACACGACAACAATTATTGACTCAACAAATTTGGCTTCCACAAATACTCATCCAACATCCTTGTCTGTAGCTCAAATGTCAACTACAACTGGCTCATCAACCACAACTCTTTCTGACACCACAACAACTACTGATGCTACAATGACTTTGGCATCAACAACCACCCCTCCAACATCAACAACTGATGCTGCAACTGCAACTATGCCTGACACCACAATAAGTATTGATGCAACAACAAATTTGGCTTCCACAACCACCCCTCCAAAATCCTCAACTGCAGTACCAATGACAACAACTGATGCACAAACCACTGCTATGCCTGACTCCAAAAAAACTACTGATGCATCAACAACTTTGGATTCCATAATCACCACTCCAACATCGACAACTGATGCAACCACCACCACTTTGACTGAAACCACAACTGTTCACGCAACAACAAATTTTGCTTCTACAACTACCACTACAACATCCTCAACTGCAGCACCAAATTTAACAACAGCTGATGCATCTACCAAAAGTATGCCTGACACAACAACACCTACTGATACAACAATAACTTTGGCTTCCACAACCACCCTTCCAACATTCTCAACTATGGCATCAGCGTCAACTACTGATGCAGCAACAAAAACTATGCCTAACACCATAAAACTTACTCATGCAACAACAACTTTGGCTTCAACAACCACCCTTCCAACATACTCAACTGTAGCACAAACATTGACAGCTCATGCAACAACCACAACTATGTCTGACAGCAGAACAACTATCGATGCAACAACAACTATGGCTTCCACAACCACCCCTCCAACATTCTCAACTGCAGTGCCAACGTCAACAACTGTAACACCAGTTTCAACAACTGATGCAGCAATCACAACTATGTCTGACACCACAACAACTATTGATGCAATAACAATTTTGGATTCCACAACCAAGCCATCAACATTGTCAGCCGCCGCATCAGTGTTGACATATGATGCAGCAACCAAAACGATGCATGACACCACTACAGCTGCTGTTGCAACAACATCTTTGATTACCACACCAACCTTTTCAACATACTCAACTGTGGCACCAAGGTCAACAACATCTGATGCAGCAACCACAACTATACCTGACACCACAACAACTATCGATGCAACAACAACTATGGCTTCCACAACCACCCCTCCAACATTCTCAACTGCAGTACCAACGTCAACAACTGTAACACCAGTTTCAACAACTGATGCAGCAATCACAACTATGCTGACACCACAACAATTATTGATGCAATAACAATTTTGGACTCCACAACAGTATCATCAACATTCTCAGCTGCAGCAAAAATGTTGACATCTGATGCAGCAACCAAAACGATGCATGACACCACCACAGCTCCTGATGCAATAACATCTTTGGCTTCCACAACCAACCATCCAGCATCCTCAACTGAAGCATCAACATCAGCAACCACAACTGTGCCAGAGACTGCAACAACTATTGATGCAACAACAACTATAGCTTCCACAACCACCCCTCCAACATCTGCAGTACCAACACCAACAACTGTAGCACCAGTGTCAACAACAGATGATGCAACATCCATTATGCCTAACACCACAAAAACTACTGATGCAAAAACAGCTTTGGCTTCCACAACAAATCCTCCAGCATCCTCAACTGTGGCACAAATGTTGACAACTGATGCAGCAACAACAACCATGCCTGACACCACAAAAACTATTGATGCAGAAACAACTTTGGCTTCCACAACCACCCCTCCAACATCCTCAACTGTGGCACCAATGTCAACAACAAATGTTGCATCAACCACAAGTATGCTTGACACCACAGGAACTACTGAAGCAAAAACAAATTTGGCTTCCACAACCACCCCTCCAACATCCTCAACTGTGGCACCAATGTCAACAACAAATGTTGCATCAACCACAAGTATGCTTGACACCACAGGAACTACTGATGCAAAAACAAATTTGGCTTCCAAAACCACCCCTCCAACATCCTCAACTGCAGTACCAATGTCAACAACAAATGTTGCATCAACCACAACTATGCCTAACACCACAACAAATATTTACACAGCAGCAACTTTGGCTTCCACAACCACCCATCCAACATCCTCAACTGTGGCACCAATGTCAACAACAAATGATGCATCAACCACAAGTATGCTTGACACCACAGGAACTACTGATGCAAAAACAAATTTGGCTTCCAAAACCACCCCTCCAACATCCTCAACTGTGGCACCAATGTCAACAACAAATGATGCATCAACCACAAGTATGCTTGACACCACAGGAACTACTGATGCAAAAACAAATTTGGCTTCCAAAACCACCCCTCCAACATCCTCAACTGTGGCACCAATGTCAACAACAAATGATGCATCAACCACAAGTATGCTTGACACCACAGGAACTACTGATGCAAAAACAAATTTGGCTTCCAAAACCACCCCTCCAACATCCTCAACTGTGGCACCAATGTCAACAACAAATGATGCATCAACCACAAGTATGCTTGACACCACAGGAACTACTGATGCAAAAACAAATTTGGCTTCCAAAACCACCCCTCCAACATCCTCAACTGTGGCACCAATGTCAACAACAAATGATGCATCAACCACAAGTATGCTTGACACCACAGGAACTACTGATGCAAAAACAAATTTGGCTTCCAAAACCACCCCTCCAACATCCTCAACTGTGGCACCAATGTCAACAACAAATGATGCATCAACCACAAGTATGCTTGACACCACAGGAACTACTGATGCAAAAACAAATTTGGCTTCCAAAACCACCCCTCCAACATCCTCAACTGTGGCACCAATGTCAACAACAAATGATGCATCAACCACAAGTATGCTTGACACCACAGGAACTACTGATGCAAAAACAAATTTGGCTTCCAAAACCACCCCTCCAACATCCTCAACTGTGGCACCAATGTCAACAACAAATGATGCATCAACCACAAGTATGCTTGACACCACAGGAACTACTGATGCAAAAACAAATTTGGCTTCCAAAACCACCCCTCCAACATCCTCAACTGTGGCACCAATGTCAACAACAAATGATGCATCAACCACAAGTATGCTTGACACCACAGGAACTACTGATGCAAAAACAAATTTGGCTTCCAAAACCACCCCTCCAACATCCTCAACTGTGGCACCAATGTCAACAACAAATGATGCATCAACCACAAGTATGCTTGACACCACAGGAACTACTGATGCAAAAACAAATTTGGCTTCCAAAACCACCCCTCCAACATCCTCAACTGTGGCACCAATGTCAACAACAAATGATGCATCAACCACAAGTATGCTTGACACCACAGGAACTACTGATGCAAAAACAAATTTGGCTTCCAAAACCACCCCTCCAACATCCTCAACTGTGGCACCAATGTCAACAACAAATGATGCATCAACCACAAGTATGCTTGACACCACAGGAACTACTGATGCAAAAACAAATTTGGCTTCCAAAACCACCCCTCCAACATCCTCAACTTTAGCACCAGTGTCAACTACTGATCTAGCAGCAACAACCATGCCTGACACCACACAAACTACTGATGCAACAACAACTTTGGCTTCCACAATCACTCCTCCAGCATCCTCAACTGTAGCACAATCGTTGACAACTGATGCAGCAACCACAACTATTTCTGACAGAAAAACAACTATTGATGCAATAACAATTTTGGATTCCACAACCATGCCATCAACATTCTCAGCCGCCGCATCAATGTTGACATCTGATGCAGCAACCAAAACGATGCCTGACACTACTACAGCTGCTGTTGCAACAACATCTTTGATTACCACACCGACCTTTTCAACATACTCAACTGTGGCAACAAGGTCAACAACATCTGATGTAGCAACCACAAGTATGTCTGACACAACAACACCTACTGATACAATAACAACTTTGGCTTCCACAACCACCCTTCCAACATCCTCAACTATAGCTCCAGCGTCAACTACTGATGCAGCAACCACAACTGTGCCAGACACCACAACAACTATTGATGTAACAACTCTGGCTTCCACAAGCACCCCTCCAACATTCTCAACTGTAGCACCAGCATCAGTAACTGATGCAGCAACAACAACTATGCCTGACACCACAAAAACTACTGATGCAAAAACAATTTTGACTTCTACAACCAAGCCTCCAACATCCTCAACTGATGCAGTAAAAACAACTATGCCTGGCACCACAAAACCTACTCATGCAACAACAACTTTGGCTTCCACAACCACTCCTCCAGCATCCTCAACTGTAGCACAAACGTTGACAACTAATGCAGCAACAACAACTATGCCTGACACCACAAAACCTACTGATGCAAAAACAATTTTGGCTTCAACAACCACCACTCCAACATCCTCAACTGTAGCACAAACATTGACAACTCATGCAACAACCACAACTATGTCTGACAGCACAACAACTATCGATGCAACAACAACTATGGCTTCCACAACCACCCCTCCAACATTCTCAACTGCAGTACCAACGTCAACAACTGTAACACCAGTTTCAACAACTGATGCAGCAATCACAACTATGTCTGACACCACAACAACTATTGATGCAATAACAATTTTGGATTCCACAACAATATCATCAACATTGTCAGCTGCAGCAAAGATGTTGACATCTGATGCAGCAACCAAAATGATGCATGACACCACCACAGCTGCTGATGCAATAACATCTTTGGCTTCCACAACCAACCACCCAGCATCCTCAACTGTAGCACCAACATCAGCAACCACAACTGTGCCAGAGACTGCAACAACTATTGATGCAACAACAACTATAGCTTCAACAACCATCCTTCCAACATCCTCAACTACAGTACCAACACCAACAACTGTAGCACCAGTGTCAACAACTGATGATGCAACATCCATTATGCCTAACACCACAAAAACTACTGATGCTACAACAACTTTGGCTCCTACAACCACTCCTCCAGAATCCTTAGCAGTAGCAAAAACATTGAAAACTGATGCAGCAACCATAACTATGTCTGACAGCACAACAACTATTGATGCAACAACCAGTATGGCTTCCACAACCACCCCTCCAACGTCAATAACTCATGCAACAACCACAACTATGCCTGATACCACAACAACTATTTATGCAACAACAACTTTGGCTTCCACATCAACTCCTCCAGCATCCTCAACTGTAGCACAAACGTTGACAACTGATGTAACAAAAACAAATATGCCTGACACCACAAAAACTACTGATGCAAAAACAAATTTGGCTTCTACAACCAACCCTCCAACATCCTCAATTGTAGCACCAGCATCAGCAACTAATGCAGTAACAACAACTATTCCTGACACCACAAAAACTACTGATGCAACAACTTTGGCTTCTACAACCACTCCTCCAGAATCCTCAACAGTGGCAAAAACATTGACAACTGATGCAGCAACCATACCTATGTCTGACAGAACAACAACTATTGATGCAACAACTAGTATGGCTTCCACAGCCAACCCTCCAGCGTCATCAACTCATACAACAACCACAACTATGCCTGACAAAATAACAACTATCGGTGCATCAAAAACAACTATGGCTGCCACAACCACCCCTCTGGCATCCTCATATATAGCACCTATGTTGACATCTGATGCAGTGACCACAACAATACATGACATTTCACCTATAACTATTGGTGGGAAAATTACAACTTTGATTCCGAAAATAACAGAAAATCATCCAACAACTTCTGTTATGTCACAAACCACAACAATTCCATCCACAACTATTGGTGAGACAACTACATTTTTGGCTCCCACAATCACAACGCCTCCTCAAAAAGTAGTGGAGAAGTCAACAACAGCGCCAACCACTACAGTTTTTTCAATAACTACACCTGAAACCACAAAAACACTCTCAACATCTTCTACTATTGTTGAGATAACTACAAACCATACTAAAACAACTACTGTAGGTAAAACCCCAACAACAATTACAACTGTAGCTATTGGCCAGGCAACTACACCTTTGGCTTCTGAAACCACACTGACAACAAATCATCCAACAGCCACTACACTGACAGAAACCGCAACACCACTTCCAGTAACATTGACAACTACTGGTGAGACAGCTGCGACTGTCATTTCCACAACATTAAATCAACCAACAAACACTAATGTGGGGGAAACAACAACGATTCTACCTGCAACTATTGGTGAGGCAACTTTAAATTTGGCTCCCACAATCATGATGACAACACCAACCAGTAAAATCCATTTAACAATTACAACTAAGCCTGAAACAACAACAGCACTTCCAACTACAGCTATTGCTGTCACAACTAAACCTTTGGCTTCTGAAACAACATTGACTACAAATGATGCAACAACCACTATTGTAGCTGACACCACAACACTTCCAAGAGTTACTGGTGAGTCAACTTTGACTACTACATCACTTTCAACTACAGGACCAACCAATAGAACTGATGCAACGACCACAACTATGCCTTATCTCACAACATCTTTGGGTGCAACAACAAAAACTGTGGCTACCACAAGCACCCTTGCAATGTCCTTAACTGTAGCACTAATGTCGACAACTAATGCAACATCTATGGCTGACAACACCACAAATATTGGTGCAACAACAACAACTCTGGCAACCACTAACACTCTTCCAACATCCTCAGTTATAGCACGAACCATAAGTATGCATGACACCACAACTATTGGTGCAACAACAACAAATTTGGTTAACACAACCACCCCTCTAACATCCTCAACTGTAGCACCATCATCAACAACTGATACGGCAACCATAGCTATGACTGAATCTACAACAGTACTTCCAATAACAACTATTGGTGCAACAACAACTTTGACTGCCAAAAGTACACCTCCAGCATTTTTATCTATAGTACCAACATCAAAAATTGATGCAGCAGCCACAACTATGTCTGAAATAACAACAGTGTTTCTAACAAATGCTACTATTGTTGAGACAACTAGAAATTTGGTTTCCACAAAAACAAACAATCCTACAACAATTACTGTGGCTGAAACCACAACATATCTTCCAAATACAGCTACTGGCAAGACAATAAAAACTTTGGCCACATCTCCAACATCCTTAACTATAGCACAAACCTTGACTGCCACAACCACCCCTTCAACATCCTCAAATATAGCACCAAAATCAACAACTGATGCAGCAACCAAAACTTCACCTAATACAACAACAGTACTTTCAAAAACAACTATTAGTGCAACAGCAACAACTTTGGCTGCCAAAAGTACCCCTCCAACATCCTCCTCTGTAGCACCAACATTGACAACTGATGTAGCAATCACAACTATGCCTGAAACAGAAACAGTACTTCCAATAAAAACTTTTGGTGCAACAACAAATTTGGTTACACTATCTGTTCTAGCACCAACAACGACATCTGATGAAACAAACACAACTTTGCCTGAAACAGCAATGGTATTTTCAAAAACAACTATTGTTGCAACAACAACTTTGACTACCACAAGTACCCCTCCAGCATCCTCTTCTTTCGCACCAACTTTGACTACTGATGCGGCAGTCACAACTATTCCTGAAACTTCAGCTGACCTTCCCACAAGGACTATTAGTGCAACAGCAACAACTTTGGTTAACACAAGCACCCCTGCAACATCTTCAATTGTTACACCAATGTTGACAACTGATGGAGCAACTACAACTATTCCTGAATCTAAAACATCTATTGGTGTAACAACAATAACTTTGGCCAACACAAGCACCACTGCAATATCCTCAACTGTAGCACCAACATTGACACCTGATGCAGACACCACATCTATAGCTGACTCCATAACAAATATTAGTGCAACAACTACAACTTTGTCTACCACAAGCTCCTCTCCAATATCCTCAGCTATAGCACAAACAACTAATGCAGCAACCACAACTATAGCTGACACAACAACATCCATTGGTGCAAGAACAACAACTTTGGCTACACCTAGCACTCCTTCAACATCCTCAGCTATAGCACGAAACACAACTATACCTGACACCACAACAACCATTGGTGCAACAACAGCAAATTTGGTTAACACAAGCACTCCTCCAACATCCTCAACTGTAGCACAACTGTTGACAGCTGATTCAGAATCTACAACTATGCCTGAAATCAATACAAGTATTGGTGAAAAAGCTACAACTTTGACCCCCACAAGCACCACAACCCCTCCAACTTTGGTGGAGGAGTCAGTGACAACATCATCCACGAATATTCATCCAACAAGCACAACAATGTCTGAGAGGAAAATTACTACCTTTGGTGCATTAAATGCAGATATAACTGATTCAACAACCACACCTAATTCTAAAATCACAACAACTAGTAGAGAAACAATTACAACCAGAATGTCCTCCTCAACATTGGTGGAAGAGCCAACGACAGCACAATCACAAGCTACATCTAATTTAAATACAACAACATTTCCGGGGTTTACAACAACAGCTTTGACTAATCCTCAGACAGAAAATAATCCTACAATGCACTTCCCAACATCTACAGCAGTCCTTGGCAAAACAAGCTTACCTCTAATGAACAGAACTGGTTCAGCACTGGTTACAAGCAAACTACAGTTCAACTCCGCATCTCCAGTCCCCAGAGAAACTCAGGTCCTCAGTGTTATCAACACTCTTCTCAAATCCAGAGATTCACAGCCCAACAAATCAGTTCAAGTGCTGAATGTCACCTATAAGAGTAAGTTTCATTGTTTTGAGTTTAAAAGTTTTTGAAATATGAATGTGCCGACTATAATGTTAATGTGAAGCCAAGACACAATCCATATATTTCCCTTCAAACAGATATCTCAGAGACCTCCTATGCAATCATTTTTACATTTAACCTGATTGACATTAGTATACCAGAGGACCCTGAGCTAAAGAACAACACCTATCAGCACCTGCAGAATGTTATCAATAATGTGGTAAGCATTAATGCAGATCTCTCACATTTATGATGAATATGTGTTGATATTACTCTGCAGTTGAACACACTTCTGAATGAACCTGGCCGTCAGGTTTTTAAAGCCAAGTCCTCCAAATTCAAGTAAGATGATTTCATTTTTGAATCATGTTTATTCATATTGTTAATTCACTGTAGCATTTTTGTATATAAAACAATCAAACCTTAAAAGACCTAAACTGTTAATCTATTTTGCTCATATTGACTGAAGCTATTTCAAAATAACCTCCAACTGCACCTAATATCCACTTCCATTTCAGAATCAATTTATTATTTTGCATTCTATCCTTTGAACATTTCAAAACATTTCCCTCTAGGTGCACAGAAAACCACATTGAGGGCAGTATGGAATATATCTTTAATAGCAAAGATCAACCCACCATTTTGTTAAAGGAGCTTGATTTACAGAACAGTATGTCAATTCCAATGATACAATAAAACAATATATATGTCATGGATGTTCATGCCATTTTCACTGTATAATTTACCATGTGTTTCTCATCCAGTAATTTATTTTGTTTTACAGGCTTAATAACAACGACCCTTGCAAAACCAGGCACATCTACAACCACTAAAGAAACTACAGCTTTGTAAGAAAAATAATCAGTCTTATTAAAAGGAAATCATTTAAATTACCAATGCTGTAGATTCCTTATATTTAAATGTTCTTTTTCAGGATTGGGAGGGTGATTTTTTACATTCGGCTCATTTTTATCACACGGGGCCCCATACCAAGTGAGAGCCATGTTCAACATGTGGTCAACTTACTGCTGGCCCCACGTCTCAGAGCTAAACAAGACACAGCACAGACCCTGAATGATCCTGTGAGCTATGTGAATGCCAGCTATGAGAGTGAGTTGTTCTCTTCTGCTTAGATTTGCTTGCTGTGAATGTAAAATTTAAAACTGTTTTTTGTTCAAACTTTTAATAAAACTAAAAAGTTGCACATATCAGAAATTTGGTAACAGGGTTTAATTGATATTAAAGTTTAATGTTTTTTTTTATAGTGCATGATGATTTTTGTAAATAAAAAATATTTATTTATTGTTTTTTTTTTACCTATCCAAGCTACAATATATCACTCTCCTATTTTGAGCAGGAGGATAAATATGACATTTCACCACCTATATGTATAATAAACTAATTAGTGTTATATACTGTGTTCTTATTAAGAAATTGCTGATAATTCATATGCCCTCAAATGTGGATTTGAGATCAACAGTCCATCAACGGGAGAGAAACTTGAACTCAGGGATGGCAACTACACATTCATTCAAAACTCCATAAAAAGAAAGGTGGGTTTGAGAATGTTTTAGAAAGAAATTAAGAAGACACATTAACCTTAAAATATGATCATAAAACAATTAATCTCTGTATTTATTAATAAATTCTTCAGCTGAACCAGATCTTAAGTGACTCTGACACTTCTGTTGAGTTCAACAAAGCCAGTTTCACGTATGTAATGACTTTTTGTTTTATACTTTAATCAGAGCAATGATGTGGCTTCAAGTGAGTTAAAAAAAAAACTGCTTTAATTTCCCCCAGGAAAAATTCCATGGAGGTCATTGCTGATATTGACTATATTTTCCGGCAACAAGACATCAAGTCACCCAGTGACTTCCTCCAAGGACTTCTCAAAGTTACGAATAGTATGTATTCTTTCCATATTATAGAGATAAATTAATTCAATGTATGACACTTTAACATGATTAAATAGCCTACTATTTCATGTTTTAAATATATTATCCATATATGTATATATATTATTTTTTTGAATAGTAAATATATACATTTATGATTATGATTTATTTTATGCATTCTTCTTCTCCTTAAATATATCTCCTAAAATATTTTTTTGCACTACAGGCTTAACAACTCCAGCTCCAACAGGGAATAAAACAACTCAGAAACCTGTACAAACACCAAATGTGTAAGTATAAAATGTAAGAATAAATTGTATTGTGTAAAAGGTAAACATTTTATTCATTATCTCTCTCACCATTAATCCTCTTTACCTTCTTTTTCAGGATTGGGAGGGTGATTATTCACATTCGGCTCATATTTATCACACGGGGCCCTGTACCAAGTGAGGCAAAAATATTACAGTTGGCAAACTCTCTGCTGGGCGCACGTTTCAGAACTAAACAAGAACTAAGGGCACAAAGCTTAGGTACCCCTGTGAGCTTTGTGAATGTTACTTACACAAGTGAGTTTTCTCTTCTCTGTTCAGTCACCAGTAAACAAATTTTATATGGCAGTAAAAAGATGTATGCACACAGTATCAGCTAATATATATTATTATTATTAATTCATGTATTTATTTTTTAAAGAAATTTCTGATACGTCATATGCCCTGAATTTTGGATTTGAAATCAACAATGTTACCATGTCTCAGAAACTTGAACTCCGGGATACCACATATAAATTAATCCAGGACACTATAAATAAATTGGTAAGTCTGATACAATTTGTATTTAAAATGCCCTTATTATTATTATTATTATTATTAGCCACCGATAGAAGGCAACAAATTACCATGAGACCCACAGGGACCATTACAGTTTCCATTAAACCCATTACAAATTCTGTGATGGTTTCTATTGTTTTTCAGCAGGGAAAGAAACATAGATAGGCTTAGATAGAAATGATCAGATGATAGATAGATTTAATTATTCATGCCTGAAACCCTAATTGATAATGCTTCTTTTGTGAAAAATTTATGAAGAGATAACAGTTAATCAAGTTTGCACTTTAAATTCAAATGTAGCAACTGACAAAATCTTGTATATAAATAACTTTTATTTACAAAGGCCAGTTTATTTCAGTACATAGTAAACAATGCACTCTTATTAAAAAATGTTGTGTTGAAAACGTAAAAAGGGATGTGATAAAAATGACACATGTTGTGTCAAATTTAACACACAACCTGTGTCATTTCTTTACACATCTGTGTGTTTATAAGGACTAGACAGTTTGTATTACCTTTAACTCAACTAATGTGTTATTCCTCTTAAGACAGAAGTTTGTTGAAACCTTTTACACACTAATGTGTTATAGTTACACAACTTGTGTCAGATATATGTTATTTTTGGTCAATCTAGACAGAAGTTGGATCTGTCAGACTTAAAATTTTGGTTGGAACAAAAGGCACAAAAAAAAATCAACTGAAGATAAAAGACATTAAATCTCTGAATTACACTGAATCACTTATTACTAACCAGGATCTTAGCTCTTCCGCCATTGTTTCACCACCGGAGCAGATGTAGACAAGAATGACCTTGGGAAGTAAAATGGTTAGAGAGTTGGACTTGTAACCCAAAGGTTGCGGGTTCGAGTCAACTATTAAACTCAAATTCTATCATCTTCAATTTTGAATAAAACAATTTTTCATTGCTGACCTGTTTAGCTGAACGAGATCCTAACTGAGCCCACAGCCACTCCATTTGTGTTCAAAGATAGCAATTTCACGTAAGATTTAAACTTTTATTAGAACAGAAATGTCCATTGCTTCTAAGACATCTAGTTTAAATGTGGTTAGATCAGATGTAAAGGAAGAAGTACATTGAGATCTTTTTGAAGAGTTCATTTGCATCAATGTATAATTTAATCTCTCCCCAGGGGTAATTCCACCACTATTCAGGCTGATGTACAGTATGTTTTCTCAGAAAGCGACATCCAGAAACCAAGTGCCTTTCTCTATGCACTTGTTGTGGTTAATAATGGTATGTTCTTCTGCACAGAAATGTTATTGTTAGCTTTATAGTTATTTGAGATTTTTTTTATCTTCATTATTTTAAACCTTGTCATCTACAGAGACTATTATCACAACTACACCTGCTGCAACAAGAACCACCTTTTACTCCACAGTGCTGAGCACTACAATCACAAATAACGGCACTAATGCAGCATGGGTTGTGGCCATTATTGTCCCCTGTGCTATTGCCATCATCCTCGTACCTTGCTGGATTCTCCTTTGTGTAAGTTTCATAAAGATTTAATAAGAAATATGCATAAAAACGTATATGGTTAATTCCAGTCTAACTAGGCTCTCTCTCTGTCCGCAGTGTTTGCTGTGTGGTTTTTTAATCTCTCCCCAGGGGTAATTCCACCACTATTCAGGCTGATGTACAGTATGTTTTCTCAGAAAACGACATCCAGAAACCAAGTGCCTTTCTCTATGCACTTGTTGTGGTTAATAATGGTATGTTCTTCTGCACAGAAATGTTATTGTTAGCTTTATAGTTATTTGAGATTTTTTTTTATCTTCATTATTTTAAACCTTGTCATCTACAGAGACTATTATCACAACTACACCTGCTGCAACAAGAACCACCTTTTACTCCACAGTGCTGAGCACTACAATCACAAATAACGGCACTAATGCAGCATGGGTTGTGGCCATTATTGTCCCCTGTGCTATTGCCATCATCCTCGTACCTTGCTGGATTCTCCTTTGTGTAAGTTTCATAAAGATTTAATAAGAAATATGCATAAAAACGTATATGGTTAATTCCAGTCTAACTAGGCTCTCTCTCTGTCCGCAGTGTTTGCTGTGTGGTTGCTGTACAGCATTAAGAAGACGATGGTCCAGAAGACAGTCGTACAATATACAATACACCACTCGAAACAGCCTTTTCTAGAGAGCTCGAGACACATCAGGAAAATGACTAATTACTTATATTACTAATCCAAATTGTGATGGTGGTACTTTAAAGTTTACATTTAACTTTCCATAATGATTATGATATCTTAGAGCTTTTATAATGCACTATTTATTTTATTGCGCCTGTATTGCTGGACAGACAGGATCTTAAATTGTGATTAATGTAATTTATTTTCAGAATTGTTTAATGGATAAAAAATTGTTATTTACGATTTCTGTAATGTTGGTAATGTTAAACTTATTTACACTTTATGCACTTTAGTTCCATGTAACTCAAAGGAAAATCCTTGTGTGCTTTACACACAGGTATAGATGTAAAACAGCAGCAACATCAATCAACAGTAATTGTATCTGCATAATTTCAGATCTCATTCTTAATGATCACTTCTGTTCTGACAAGATTGTCCTGCAGCTGCTAACAGGAATTTTTTTTATTTTAGTAAGGCATCACACAAACAGCTTTCTTAACCGTTTAAATCAAAACAACATTAATAAATGTAAGAACTAATGTATATATAACCAAATTACTATATGATCTAGCAGGACCCTGCATGCATAAAAAAATAAAAACCTTTACAATGTTGAAAAATACACAAATTCTATTTATTTTGAAAGTTGCAAGTACATTTCACATGTATATCACATTCATCCACTATTTTTCCACATATTTCTAAATATAGAATTTGTTATAATTAAAAGCCATGAGCTGACACATACACTCTTAAAAATAAAGGTGCTTCAAAAGGTTCTTCAAGCGATGCCATAGAAGAACCATTTTTGGTTCCACAAAGAACCATTCAGTCAAAGGTTCTTTAAAGAACCATCTCTTTCTTACCTTTTTGTAATCTGAAGAACCTTCTTTCGCCACAAAGAACCTTTTGTAAAACAGAAAGGTTCTTCAGATGTTAAAGGTTCTTTATGGAACCATTTAGACAAAAATTTTTTCAGTTTAACGCGTTAAAAATATTTAACGCAGGGGCGGGGCTAGGGCTGGCCACCCCACTCACAACTGCTGCATCTGTCACTTTTTCTCTTGACAAGAAGTGCATTTATTCAGTTGCAGAACGACTGAGAACAGGAGACGTTTCAGACACGCACTCCACTTCACTTCAGCACCAGGTGCGAGTCAAACGAGTGCGGAAACGGTACTGTGCTTGTAGCGCGTGCGCTACAATTGCACGCACAAAGGCACCGGCGCCCAAGTATAGGTCTCTGCAGGAAAGTAATGGGAGGTACCAGATAGGGGCGTTTTTAGACCATGTTTCCTGATTGGCTGACGTCATAGTGACGATAGGTTTAGGGGTGGGGTTAGGTAAGGGGAATCATTAGGTGCGTTCGACTCGAAGCACCGCTACAGACGGTGGTCAACGAGAGAGCCGCTTGCAGTCGGGGGCGGAGTTAGTGACGCTCACGTGGTGTTTGCATACTCTATCACAGATGAAGTTAATTAAATGCAATATTTGTCAAATACACAGACGTTTCAGAAACGTTTTCATGAGCAACAGAAACACTTTTTATATACTGCTTACTTCAGCGCCACCCTTTTTAAATTAGCCAATAGCGTTTTGTTTATATCTGCACGGATCAGAGCCATTGAGCTTGGTAAAGCCGCATTTGACAGCCACAGTCTAACAGATTACCCCCTAGATTCAATATGAAACTCTCAGTAAAACAAAATAGTGATCATAATCATGCTGAGGCTGTGTAGTTTTAAAAGTGTTTAAAGGGGTCATATGATGCTGCTAAAAAGAACATTATTTTGTGTATTTGGTGTAATGAAATGTGTTTATGCGGTTTAAGGTTCAAAAAACACATTATTTTCCACATACTGTACATTATTGTTTCTCCTCTATGCCCCACCTTTCTGAAACGCGCAGATTTTTACAAAGCTCATCGGTCTGAAAAAGCGAGGTGTGCTGTGATTGGC